TGCTCGGGAGTAGAAGGACTCTGGCTCTTGGAAAGAGCCGTGCCAGGTAACATAGGTAAGGATCCCTTTTTCGAGTTAGACATGCTAAATCGATCAAGGACCTTATCTATATATGTACTTTGACATAGACCTATCAACTTTCTTGACCTATCACGGTAGATTCTTATGCCAAGGGCATAACTAGCATTCCCCAAGTCCTTCATGGCGAAGTTCTCGCTCAACCAAGTCTTTACAGATGTGAGAGCAGGAACATCGTTACCCATTAACAATATGTCATCGACATATAGGATTAGGAATACTATCACACTCCCACTGACCTTATTGTACACACAAGACTCGTCAGAATTCTTCTCGAAACCAAAACTAGTGATGGTTTCATCAAAGCGCATATACCAACTCCGAGATGCTTGTTTCAATCCGTAGATTGACTGTTGTAGCTTACAGACTTTGGCAGATTCACCAGCAATTATAAAACCGTCAGGCTGTGTAATATAGACATCCTCTTTGAGGTTCCCGTTAAGGAAAGCTGTCTTGACGTCCATCTGCCAAATCTCGTAATCGTAGAATGCTGCAATCGCAAGCATTATCCGAATGGACTTCAGCATTACAACTGGAGAAAAGGTTTCATCATAGTCAATTCCATGGATTTGTCTATAACCTTTTGCTACCAATCTAGCTTTGAAGGTATGAACCTTCCCGTCTACGTCTGTTTTCTTTTTGAAAATCCACTTGCACCCTATGGGTATTAACCCTTCGGGCACATCAACCAAGGTCCAGACTTGGTTTGTGTACATAGACTCCATTTCGGATTTCATGGCATTAAGCCATTGTTCGGATTCGGGGCACGTGATTGCCTTGAGGTAGGTCTCAGATTCGCCTTGGTCTACCAGCAAGACGTCGCCTTCATCAGATACAAGGAACCCGTATCTAACCGGAGGATTACGCATCCGATCTGACCTACGTGGTAAAACCTGAGCTGGTCGAGATACTATATCTTGACGTTCAGGTTCCACAGCTATTGAGATCTCTTCTTGTGGTTCTCGAATTTCTTCGAGGTCTACCTTTCTCCCACTAGAAATAGCAGAGAGAAACTCCTTCTCAAGAAAAGTTCTGTTCCGAGCAACAAAGATTTTGTTATCGGTCGGATTATAGAACTCATACCCTTTCGTTTCATTGGGGTATCCCACAAATTTACACCTGTCAGATTTGGAATCCAGCTTACTAGATGTCATGAGGCGTCTAACGTAAACATCACAACCCCAAATCCTCAAGTACGACAAATTTGGTTTTGTCCCACGCCATAGCTCGTATGGTGTGCTCTCAACAGCCTTAGATGGTACGCAATTGAGTGTGTGTGCGGCAGTTAATAGTGCTTTTCCCCAAAAGGACTCTTGTAATGTTGTCAGACTCATCATACTCCGAACCATATCGAGCAGCGTTCGGTTTCTCCTTTCAGACACTCCATTTAATTTGGGGTGTACCGGGAGGAGTCAGCTGGGATAGGATCCCGTGCTCTTTTAGATAGTCGTCGAACTCCAGGCTTAAGTACTCACCTCCTCGATCTGAGCGGAGGGTCTTGATACTTTTGCATAATTGTTTCTCTACTTCGTTTCTGAATTCTTTGAACTTGTCAAAGCATTCCGATTTGTGTTTCATGAGATACACATATCCATACCGACTGAGGTCATCAGTAAATGTTACGAAGTATGAGAAACCACCTCTAGCTTCAGTGTTGATTGGGCCACATACATCAGAGTGTATGAGGCCTAATACATCACTCGCCCTTTCACCGTGACCGGTGAATGGAGCCTTTGTCATTTTACCGAGTAAACAAGATTGGCATACATCATAAGACTCGAGGTCAAATGAATCAAGTACGCCAGAGTGACGTAACTTAGATATGCGTTTCTCGCTAATGTGGCCCAAACGACAATGCCAAAGGTATGTGATATTCAAACTGTTTGGTTTGCTTCTCTTAACATCTACGTTATAAACAGTGGCGTCTAAGTCTAAGATATAAAGACCATTGGTCATCTTAGCAGTTGCATAGTAAATATCATTTCTGAAAACCGAAAGGACTTGTCTTTGACGTTAATAGAAAATCCTTCTTTGTCAAGACAGGACACCGAAATGATATTCCTGCTAATGGCAGGTACAAACAAGCAATTGTTTAAATGCAACAACAAGCCACTGGGGAGAGATAGAACATAAGTTCCTACAGCCAGCGCATTGACAAGTGCTCCGTTTCCGAACTTAAGCTGGACTTCTCCCTCAGTCAAATGTCTAACTTCATGCAAATTCTGCATAGAAGTATAGATGTGAGAACCACATCCGGTATCCATCACCCAAGAGGTGAAATCAGACATGTTGACTTCAATAACGTAAATACCCGAGTTTTTGGGGTGACCCTGTAATAGGTCTCTTAAGCGATGTATCATAGGACGTGCTTTCATGTCCGCGTGGAGTCTTTGGAGCTCCGCGATCATACTTGCCATAATGATACACTTAACATCTCGCGCGTCGTCCTCATACTTCTTGAAGGAAGTGAGTTCGGACGCACGAGCATTTGCCTTAGGGGTCTTGGGAGGATCCGTTTCGAGGATGTAAAGTTTCCTCTCACAGTCAAGAACGATTCGTAGGTTCTTCTCCCAGTCAAGAAAGTTTTCCCCAGAGAGTTTTTGGCTCTCGAGGACATGCCGCAGGTTGATGGAATGACTGTATGTGTTATTTGATGCCATCTACAGAATGAAATTGCAAACTAGGTAACTATCATGTTGAATAATTAATTAGGCCTTTAATTAATTATTTCCCACTATTTTAACAAACCAACAACCCTCAATGTTGATTCGGAGATTCTCCTAGAGATTCTCTTAATGGGCCAAGATCCATATATCATTAAATTCTAGTTGACCTGAGGTTCGTACCTAGAATTTAACTATTTAGGTAGGAACATAGTTCCAACTGTCGAGCCGCGCTCACAGTTCTTGGTCTTGTGTTGGGCGAACGACAATACTACTAACGGACCAGAACACCGTTTCATCGTACATGTGATTGGCTTTGGCACGTACCACATGCGCAACTACTTTAGTTAGGGCAAAGCCCAATTAAGTCATAGAGACCCAACTTCTGGCTGGATGAGTGAGTAAAGTAATTCGACTTGTCAGTATAGTGACCCCAACAAAAACCGCCTCTGAGTCATCCATCCATTTGACCGAGACTCAGTTATGTCTAACCCAACGTCTGACAATGACCACTTTAGTGATTCCCATGACCAGCATAACATACACCGTACTACGCTATGCTAGGGCTGAGTACGTGACAGTGCACATTAGCCGGAAAGGCGCCGGGCGCTGGAAGGTAATACAGACTTAATATTTCGAGGGATTTTAAATTTTACGATCTCACCTACGACACATGCTGCGCACGTGTCAATTTACTAGCGTTAAACATACATTCACATGCATTCAAAATACGCTGTAAATAAACGTGTAATGATTGTGGCCCCTAAAGGAAAAATAAAACGATAGCTCCCACTGACTTCCAAGCACTTGGACTTCGGGCTATCTCCATTCCTTTAGATTCCCTCGAACGGACTTCAAATCTTTTATCTTCTAACCACCACGTGAGAAAAGAATCTTCGGTTGAGGTAAGAGACATATATATAGATTTACAACGAGAGTTTAAGAGATAAGGCACGACACGTAGGCCATATTATAATCAAATAAACTTTAGCCACAATCATCCACCATGCATATCATACATCCACACAGGCAATAGAGATATACATACACCGGGCGAACCGCGCTCGCCCCAGATAATTCTAGAAAAATACTACATTGGTAATATTTTCTAAAATTCATAAAACTTCATAAAGTGGTCCAAAAATTATGAAATTTTACCAAGTCATCCTAAATACATTAGGAGACTTTCGGGCAGGGGCAAAACTGGAAAATAAATTTCCAGGAAACACAGAATTACGAAAATGCCCCTAGTGCAATGTTTATTCCAAAATTCATTTTAAATTTGAAATAAAATTTCAAAAATCATGAAAATTAATTTCCAACTTCCAGTAACTATTTAATGCATTTATAAATCTAAAAAGTAAATTTCCAGAATTTATAAATATTTATTTCCCAAATATATTAATTATATCTCAATAATTGCAAAAATAATTTTAAATCATTTTTCAAAAATCATTAAATTATAAAATTTAATATTTAGAAAAATCAAATTACCTTTTTACTGAGATATAATTTTCCAAAATGATATTAGCCATTTTCAATTAATATATATATATTTATATATATTACTAGGTAATATATATATACCGAAATATATATATAATTAATTACTAACTAATATTATTTTGTCCAATATATTTATGAACAACTTTATTTCACCTAGAAATAATATTTCCCTGTTTTATAAAGTTCATTTTTGAGTTTCCAATATTTATTTAAGATTTATTAGAATTAAATCTAAACAAATACAATTAACTCAAAAATCAGAAATAAACAATTTCGAAAATTACAATATAATTTTACTAACCATAAAATGAAATTTTATGTTCAATAAAGTTATATTAACAATTTCGAAATATATATATTAATATGTATTCGAAATTTCTGAATATATGTATAAATTACATATTTTCGGCACAAATAAATAATGAATATTTATTCTAATGATTTATTTAAGTCCAATATTTATTCCAAGACTAAAATAAATCATTTTACTAATTTTAGAAATTAACAAATAATTACCAAGTAAAAAAATAATTTTCAACCGAAAAAGTTTTACGAAAAACTATAGTTTTGTACGTTGGCTCTGATACCACTGAAAGGTAACCACGGTAGGGAGGGCAACGGAAATACAAAACTTTAATCTCCCAATAGTGATTACTAGCCCAAGAATACGTACTAAAACTATAGCTAGAGATAGAAACGTATACCTCTCCAGAAAAGCGATATGAACGAGAAGTCGAGCAAAAGATGTTGAAGGAGCAAACGTAGCCGTTCAAGCGTCCGGCCTCCAACTTTGACACACGAACAATCTCCGGAGTCTACTATAATCTTTATGCTAGTAAAGATTATAATAGTATATTTAGTATAAAGATTATTTTAGGGATAATATAAATCTTGTATATTCAATAGTAGAAAATATATCAATAATATTTTAAAGAAAATATTATAACAATTTTCTACACCAAAATAATTTTGGTACCCAAAATAATTCTTTCTCTCCCTTTACTTCTCTCTTGGCCGAAACTCACTTGGCCGAAAAAATGGCTTGCCTCAAAAAGGAGAGGTGAAATTATTTTATAATCATTGAAAGGAATAAGCATAAAACCCATTTCAAAGGCTAGGTTCCAAAAGTACAAATGATATGAGGTATAGTGGGAGACAAAATAGTTTTTGTCAAAATAATTATTTTCATAATTAAAATGACACTCCAAAATAAAATGTACACAATATAATATATATAAAGTAATGTTTAAATCATATACACGTTACATACATATTACACACATATGTATGCTTGTACATATAATAAGTATATGTATATATATATATATTTATGTGCCGTGTACAATGTATATACATACATAAATATATTATATTAAACATTTTACTTTACTATTTTACAATATACAAATTAAATATTATCCCTTTTTATATTCCTACTCTTTAAATTGTCCAAAGTGTGTGACCCATATAAGCACTTATAAAACTGGCCACAGTATTGACTCTACACCAATACTATAAGTAATAAGCGGTATCTAGCAACACATTATTACCCCCAGATTATAAGTTCAGACGTTTGCTCCGTCAAAACCTTTTTACGACTAAGACTTTGTATAACGTAGATCCTTTTGTCCCAATGTCTTAACTTAGTGCAAGGGATATAAAATATCCAACTTGTAGCCATTAAGTTATTTACTGATTAACAAGTCTGACTGATGAGAACAGATGTCTAAACTCATCTCAGCATGGCCATGCATTTCTTCAGTCATACTTATCAGTGGGCCCCTACAAGACATTATTCTGCTTGAGTAGCAGTGACAAATTCTTTGTACGTAATCTACGTCTT